TATTATTGTTGTTAAGTATTTTAAATTACAATTTATTAGTCACTCTAGTTACATTGGAAGTATTTAATATGCTAATGCATGGGTTCAGGCATTAGACAAAAAAAATTTAAAAACAATACCGACAGCAACGCGAATCTCATTCAAAAATTTGTCATAAATATGAGAATCAGAATTTACAGAACTGATTCAAACTTTACCTATATGTAGGTACAAACATATTTGAATAATATTAACAATTTTAAAATCTAAAAGTGTCCATTATTTTTTTAAGTGTAGCATGGTTTGTAAGTAGAAAATATTGTCAATCATTAATTTTTAATCATTCTATTGCTGTTGCTTAACTTTTACTTCATATTTTTTAAGCTTAAATTTGAAATTAACAATATGAAAATTAAAAAAATTATTGTAAAAATTGAGTATTGTCACATAAAATTGGGAAGTAATTGGCAACAATTTCTAATGTAATAATTTTATTTGAAATGAGATTATGGAAATAAAAGTTAGAATTTATTCAAATTTACTGAAAATATTTTACTTTTAATATTGCTTTAATAATTTTCATTCACTCTTATCAAGTGGTGAGCAAGAGTCGGCTCGGTCCGGCTCTGACGAGACGCTGTGGTAATTTATTTAATCATTTACGAGTCGGTAGTTGAAACGAAATTGGAAATTACAAAATTAAAACAAATAATAGTAGGCATTTTACCAAAAGTCATGCAATATCAGATAAAAGGAAAAAAAAGCTTAGACTCAGTTTTTAAAAGTTTTGAAATGGTACACACTTGAATAGAAAATTATTGTAGCTAAAAAGAATATAATTTTGTGCTATAAATAATTGGTTTTATAAAATGAAATTTATTAAATCTTTTAATAAATTTTAAACGAAAAAAAAAACTATGAAAAAGTTTGAGAAAATATCAGTTTCAGAAGACTAGAAATCACGTGAATTTAATTCCATCAATACTAATAGAAAAAAAAACATCAACTGGAATCAGAGAATCTTCCGAAACGATAGAGTTAATTCCAGTTAAAGCAACGGAAGACATATTATAGAAATTCAAGAAAGTGAAATACCGGGTTAACGAAACCAAAAGCATGTACATATAGAGTGTTATAAGGAGGAATATAAACACCTATTTGTTATTCAACATATTTGTTTACGAGCATCTAATTTAGGTGCAGAAAGATTAAAATATCCCCATCTTTCGAAGCAATGGATCACTATTGAAATGGAAAGTAACGTTAATTCAAAATCTCTAAAACAAACTTCTCTACGAAAAAAAAAGTTGTAGAGCATTTTGCATCACAATACAGATATTAAGATTATGAACTGGTTAATAAAAATTTCTCAGCTCACCATTGCTATTATCCCAATAATATTCTATACTCGTACCTATAAATTTTATTCCAAATCAATATCTTAGGCTATTAAAATTACAATATTATTTTTCATTATTCATAAATTAATTTTTTATATAAAATAACTTAATTAAATCCTTTTTAAATTTTAATTAAATTACATGCACCCATATATGTTTGCTGTTTTTGTTCAACTACACAAAAATCTTAATTAAATTATTTTTATTAATTTAATATTTTCTATTATCGCAAACTAAGGAGACCTAAAACTAGAGATTACAAGTATATTTGCTTTTATAACTGAGTTTGATTATTTTAAAATATTTAAGAAGTTATAGTCAGTCGTTCACACGAGAATATTTTCAAAATTGTTGTTTGCAGCTTATGTACCAACAAAAGCACGTTATAAGGTTGTTTAATTTTTTACTTAAAATTATTTTTGGATAAAATCTCCCTGGAACTCTTATAGGATCCTAATATATTTTCTGAAGTCCTCTCGAATAAAAGTTTTAGAGTTCTTCCAGACAATTTCTGCAGTACCCTTTGCAACTATTGAGCATAAAATTTTAATTTTGACTAAAAATTATCTGTATGCACTATTTGGGCCATGAAAACTGTACTATCATGAATTGTCATCCATTAAAGTTTTTAGTAAAATTTATTTTGTTAGAAATCAAAAATTTGAACAAAACATGCCATATTATGTGTGTGTATTACATATAGGGAGTGTTATAGTGAGCTAAGTAACAGTAGGAATTAAAAAGAAAAAAAAAAGAGATAATAAACTCATAAATTTTATGCAAAAGTTATTAAAAGAAAAAGTTTTCCTAAAGAAAAAGCGAAAAATTCTAAGTTTTGAAAATGAGTTGTGCTTCTCTTTATTATTTTTTTTTCTCGTTTTTTATCCAACTTTGTTTTTCATTATTTTTCTTTGACTTTATTTTTGAAGATGATGTAAATAAATAAAAAGTTTCACTTTGAAGTTAATTTTAAGGTAATTTTGAGATAATCATTGAAAAATAATAAGGAACTTGAGAGAACATTTTGTATTCGAGGATTTTTAAATAGGATAAAATCTGAGGGTCTCAAATAAGTAGGTTCACAGGAAAGATAATAGTTTAAGAGCAAAGAAATTATGATATTTTATGAATTATTAGAAAATTTGAAAGAAATTAATAAAAATTTTAAAAATAAGGTTAGTAAAAAATTATTTCGGAAAATAAGTTTATGTTATTTTTAATGTGTGTTTTCCACAATTTATTTTAAAATTAAACAAATTAAATAGCTCTTCCCAGGATTACACTATAAATAAAATTTAAATTTCAAAGCTAGTATTGAGCGCATTTTAAATAACACACAATGAGTTTAATACTTTGTGACAGTTCTATACGAGATAATATTATAGAATATTGCATATTTAGAATGCAAAATTCTCTAAAATTTTTATGCTAAAAAGAGAATTAGAATCAAATCCATTCGGGGTTTGTAAATTGGTTCTGCTTCTTTAAACAAGTGGCAGAGATTCCATAAAAACAAAACTTGTTTTATTTAAATTATTTCTATACTATTATATATGAAATATCAAAATATTGCATACTGTTAGGATGAGAAAGGGAAAAAAACTGAAGGAAATGTTGAAACATTTTGATTGAATTCGACGAGTAAACACAAAAATTATAATTTTCGACGACAAAACATTTACGGTTAGTCTTTTGCCTTTATGAAAATTTTTATTCGGAATTGTTTATTATCCGTTCGACATAAGTATAAAGTATAAAGTGTAGAAAATTGAGAAAATTTTATTAATTCTGAGAAAAGCGGATATTTTGCAAGAAAAGGTAAACGAAAAAAAATTTTTTTTTTCTAACGAAATAAATTTTTTTAGTTAGTGTCTAGAAGGTATTAAGATTTCAGACACTTACAAGTTGGTGTCTATTAAAAATTCGATATTTTTTTTTCTCGTTTCTAATGATTTTACTTTAGTGTTTTCTTTGTAGGTTTGTGGAATTTTAAAATATGTTACCTATTTTTGTACAATATAAAAAGACGAAGAATGACGAAGATTGGTAAGGAAGTTTTCTTAATAAATACACGTGCAGACAGATGAACGGATGAAGAAACTGAAACTACTATTGTTTTCCAATACTCCTTATCAATTTAAAATATTTTTTATGCTTAAATATATAATTTGAAGGAAAGCAACAAGAATTGTCAGAATATTATTTCTCCTTTTTTTTGATAGATATTTAACTCTCTCAATTAAATAAGTTTTTATGTTTGAAATAATTTAAATTGCCTTACAATTTTAGGTATCTAAATTTAAACTCTTTTAAGAATCACTAAAAAGCTAAAACAAACAACTTTTTAAGAAATTTCATTTGTATTCTAACAAAAATCATAAAATTAAGAAAAAAATAAAATAAATAATTTTTAACAATTCAAATTGTTTGTCAAAATGCCAAGAAAATCAAAAATATTTTCACATATTGTTACTCACTTGAATGATAAGACAGAAATGATAGGAACAACGCAAGCAAGTGTACATCAAATTTCAAATAAACGCGTAAAAGTGATTGATATTCAATTTTTTTCTTAATTCCTTTTGTACAAAGAGTTCAAAAAAATATATGATAACACTCACTGTCAAGTTTTCAAGGCTCATAAGATTTTTGAAAAAATTTTTTTGTTTCTGTAATTGATCTTGAAAAATATTTTTTTTTTTAAAAAAATTAATTCAAAATTATTTTTTTTAAATTTTCAGTAGAATGCAAGCTAATTTGACTGTACTGCAATCCTACTGTACTCCAAAAATATGAGTTCGCTGTCATATTTATTCTAATATAGAAAATAGACATTGTTCTAATGAAAGATCTCCTCGGGAAAATTGTATCCCAAATATTTTGTGTTGATTTTGATAACGCAAGCGGTAAATTGCAGTGTAAACTGGCAAAAAAACCTTTTAATATAACGCAAAATATGGACGAGCCGGACGAGTGCTTCTGGCAAAAACATTATTATGTATATGAAAATATTATTTATCAGAATGCAAAAAAAAATTCAGTTACCTACGTTGTACATAGTCCCTAAAACTGGTTACAGACCCTAGATTTTTCTTTAAAATGTCCTTTTGTAATTTAATAATTTCATTCATATTTTTTTTTTCTTTATCTGTTTTGTTGTTTAAAAAGCATTTGCATATCTCTTATATATGCCATTATAAAATTAAATTTTAATCCTTACCAAGGATTTTAATTCAAAAAGTAAATATTTACAAATGTTATCAGAAAACTGCATATATGTTTAATTAACTAACACCAACAATATAAAAACAAAGAATAAATTTCTTGTATCATATATAAAACACACAAAAGCACACACAATTTTAAGTATAACACATATATAAAATACAAAAGAAATATGTAAAACTAGAATATAAAAAAAATTTTTATATGACAAGAATAATTTATATGTAAAAAGGATAACACATAAAACAACTTATGAAAATTTTCAACACATGAAAACTTTAAAAATAAAAAACATAATAAACAAAATTTTTTTTATCCTTAATTTCTGTTATATGTATATATAGTATTATAAATAAGGAACATTTTTCTTTTGAATTCATATTCATTAAAACTCACATTTGTTTATGACAAACTATGCAAACCCAATCTGTTGTACGTGTTGTAAATTCTCGACAAGTCTTGCAAACACGTAGCTTACAAACTCTACACGGAGCACCACGATTAATAATACGTCCTAATTCTGTACTACACCTTGCACAATAACGACTAGATTCAATTTGAGGCCGATCTAATGATCCTGAAGTTTTAATAGCACCTTTCTTTCGTATACTATGTAATTCAGCACGTAGAAGCCTTTTTTGTTTTTCATCATTGTTGTTATCAGCGTTCGTATTAAACAGCATTTTTGTTATAAAAATATTTTCATTGTTACCATATCATGTGAATTGAATTTTTTTTTCCATATAACATGTAAGTGAATATTTATGTACAAAAAAAAAAAAAAAAAAAAAAATCCGTTAAAAATTTTCGTTTAATTTTTTGTGGACGTTTGCCAACCGGATTTTTTTTTTTAGTTGATCATCGTTGTTGTTGTTTTAATTACCATAGTAATTAGTGGTTCATATTTATTTTGTTTTTTTATTTTCCATGAATGGTTAACATTTCAGTTTTTGTAGAATAATATGCAGAATAAGAGAGCATCAAAAATTTTATGAAAAAAATAAAGATAAAATTTGATTTGTGCATTTTATTTTGTTGCCGTCCCCAGGTTTTTATACCAACATCAATGTTTCCGTTCGTGTTACAGTTTAGAAAAAGGAAAATGAAAGCATTTTGAAAAGAGAGAAAGTAAAAAAAAAAAGAAGAGAAAAAATAGAATAAATAGAATTTATTTATTTTTTTAAGTTTTTAACTACAAGATGGTACAATAATCTTAGATGAAAAATTTTGCAAATTCTCATTTTCTTTTCATATTTTACGTATTCTTTTACTGCGGTCTACATTCTGACATTATAGCCTTATGACGAACTCAAGCAGCCTCTCTATTTTGTATTTTTTTTTTCAGGAGAATTTCTTTCGTTTCTGTTCGTATGTTTTGTTCTCTATGAGAGAGTAACATGTATAGGATATTGAGAAGTTAAAGTTAAGCACATTTTTTTAACGAAGCGCATAACGAGTTTTTGTAAGCTTAAAGCCGTTCAAATTTGAATGAGACGCATTATTTTAAATAAAATTCTAATTTATGGTAGACACTACTATTTTAGCTATCAGTGTTACCATGTGTTGTAAAATCTTTGTTGTAACAAAAAATTAAATCATTTCTTATATTTAATCTTGCATCGAAAACTCTCTTTAATAGTTTGAGTTGTTTCCCTCAATAATGTACCCTTTTAGTTTATTGTCAATAAAATTCTTTCGAGATTTAATAGTACATTAATTTCTTTTTATTTCCAATTGAATTTTCGACTATAATCTCAACTTAAGAAATTAGAAAATTTTCAAGTGCGAATTTCTCCATAGTTTCCATATCCATCTGAATTACGAAGTTTTTTTTTTTTGATTTTTGAATGCATTCAAATTTTATTTCATTAGAATTTGCAAAAATGTCTTAAGATTTTTGAACCAATCTGTTTAAAATTTATTTATATATGTATAAAAAGTTTAATTTTTTTTTATATAGAAACTTTATGAATTTAATAAATAAAATGTTGAATTTTTATGATCTGAAAGATTTAAATTTAATTAATCCAATTAATTTTTATTTTTATTTATAATATGTGTACATATATATGCATACATATATGTATGTATAATGTAAATATAGAAGAATATAAAATAGTGCATTATAAGACAAGTGTGAAATAGTTTTAAAAAATATTTTCAATCATTTTTAATAAAAATAATTTAATTGAGTTTTGGTTGTTAGGGTAAGTAAAACACTTTATTGTATTTGTCATCTTTACGGTAATTATTTATTTCATTTGATAAGCAAAGAGTCTCAATAGTAACAATGTTATAGATGATTTGTAAACTTGTACATTTCCCTTTATACTTATATGGTGTATTTTCCCTTTTAATAATAATTTTAGTCTAGAATTTGTACTTAAATAGCCTCAGATTTAAAAAATAATACAAACTAGCAACTGAACGATCTCTTGTATCGTTGGCTCATATTAAGAAATCATACTTATTTTTTGGATTTCTCAGGTTTCAATATCATGGATTGAATACATATAAAAGTGTAATATGAGCGTAAAAAGGGCTGAAGTTGCTCTTATCAAATTTCAAAAATATTAATTAATATTCAATTGTTTGCTCTTTCTGTATAAATTTTGGAATTAACAAAATAAGTGAAAACTCACTATGGCAGCTACATACATATGTACATATGTATATAGTACATATGTACATAAATTAGATTAGATTAGACTAGAGAAATTAATTATTTTAGAGTCATTGCTTAAGAGATTTATTAAAATGTTTTTAAAATTAAAGAACTGAATACTTAAGAAAAAATCTGATGTGGTCAGCACATAACCGACCGCATTGTGTATTGTCTAGTTAAATGAAAGTGTTACAGAATATTATAAAAATGTCTGTTAAATACTTCTTTCCAATTTTTAGGTAACTTTACCTATTTCTAGGTATGTTAACATTTTTTTAGGTAGTTAACATACCTAGAAAAATGTAAATTTGGCTCTTAGTAGAGTTTCGCTTTGTGCTACCCGAATTCCCTGAAATGCTCGCCAGTTAGTTTCGGTAACAACCAGAACTCAAATATCAAATTTCAAGAAATTCCATCAATTTGTTCTGTGGATATGGTGAAAAATGTAAAATCGGCCCGCAAATCAGTTCTCGAGCCCTGATCTTTCCAAAAAAGTTATATGTTCATTGCTTTAATATGAGGAATTCATATATTAAATTTCAATGAAATCGGTTGATTATTTCTCTTTATATACACAAAAGTGTATGTTTGGCCCGTAGTAAACGTCTAGTTGCCGATGCCTGATCTTTCCAAAAAATTTACATGTTCATTGTTTTAATACGGGGAATTCATATATTAAATTTCAATGAAATCGGTTGATTATTTCTCTTTATATACACAAAAATGTATATTTGGCCCGTAGTAAACGCCTAGTTGCTGATGCCTGATTTCTTCCAAAAGTTAGGAATTTTTGCGTATGATCGAGCAAAGCTTATATATAAAATTTCAAGTAAATCGGTTGAATACTTTCTTCAAAATGTTCAAAAATGTAAAACAGGCCCGGTAAAAAGTGCAGTTCCCGAGGCCTGATATATACCAAAAGTTGATCGATCCGTGCCATGGTGGAAACAGACTTACATATAAAATTTCATCAAAATCGGTTCAGCCGAACTTGAGATACACGCGTGCACACACAGACCGACAGACCGACAGACCGACAGACCGACAGACCGACAGACCGACAGACCGACAGGTTGCTAAAAATAGTTTATTTACACTTCCCTACTATGGAGAAGTACGTTCCCACCGAAAACTCGATATGCAAAATTTATGCCATCACATAACCTACCTATTGTTTACACAATACGGTCGGTAAAAATGGTATAATTTCCTTTATTATTATCGCCATATTTAATATTTTTGTTATATTAACACATTAATATTTTTCACAATTAATTGTGTAAAAATTTTGAATTATTGATATTGGATGTCATAATAAATTATTAATTTTGAATAAATTCAAATAACGGTTTCATAATATCTTTTGACAACAATAATTTGAAAATTTACTTCTGCATATCCAATATTTTACTTTTTAAGTTTAAAACGAGAAAGAATAGAGTTGATCATGCCAACTCTGTGATACAAGTACGAACTTGTTACCCTATTACGGACGCATGCAAATAATAGTTGCTTTATAAATTTCAATGATTTTTATCACACATAATAGCCCTAGTGACATACTTGTATGCGCCAAATTTCTTTGTTATAAATTCAATAATTTCTGCTACCAATGAACCATTGCTTCGATCACATCCAATTTTAATAGAATTCTGCCATTTATTACGAGTATTACGAATTATTTGTGAAAATTTTATGAGACTAGTTCAATTAGTTTTTGAATTATCGTTGGAACGGACGAACAGACAAGCAGACTAACAGGCATAGTTAGATCGACTCAAGATTGTTAGTCTGTTACTCATATACTTGAGTCTATGTCTCAGACCATTATTTCTTAGCGTTTCAAAAGGTATGACAAATTTAGTATACTCTTCGAACATAAGTTGGTACGGGTATAAAAACATTTAAATAGCTTTCAGTCAAATAAAATTGCTAAAAAAAGAGTGATTAATTTCTTATTTTAACAATAAAATTGGAAATCAAAGTTACAAAAAAAAACATAATAAGTTTTAAAACATTTTTTTTTTTTGTTTGAATTCATGTTTTTCAGATTTTTTATTTAAGAAAAACAAAAAAAACACACCTTCTTGTAAACATATTTTTCTTTTACCTTTCAACAATATAAAAAAGCTATGATTCGAAATTAGAAGTTCATAAAGGTCACAAAATCAATCTTTTCGGTTTTGTTTTTATTTTTTTGCAAATTAAAAATAAAAATTGAAAAAATGCAAAACTAAAATAAAAAAAAAATAAAAAATGATTGAATAAATATTTTAATTCATTACTTCCCATTCATTAAATGTAACCTTCAACAAAAAAGTGTTATTGCTACCGGCACTACCGATCACTTCACATGCGGTTTTTAATTCATAACATTTTCATTTCAATACGATTAATTTAAAAAATAAAAAAATAAGTACCCGTGTAAATGCCAATTGAGACGGGATTTTGTCGCTGCAATTTTCAGTTATGCTACTTAAGTGGCTCTTAGTCGTTTTTAATCACTCTTAAATTAGTGTTCTCATTTTTTCTAATTGAGTACAATAGGTATAAATTGTTCTAATAAAGTTTACTCATGTTTTTAATAGAATGGTAAGTAAAAAGGCTCTATATGTAAATGTATCGCGAGAATAGTTAAGTATGTAATTTGAAATTTTATTTGAAAGATAGCAGAAAAAGATATTTAAAAAAAAAATTATGTAACATAAAAGCTTTTTTGTAAAACGGTATTTGTAATCAAATGAAAATTGCTCACTGGGATTTGAAGCATTATTGTGTATCACATTTATTATACTATAGTGTGGTAGATCTTATAAGGTTTGTTTCTGCAGTAGCGTTTTATTTTCGTTCAGTTTAGCGAATTATC